GTAGTACCGGCTGCTGCGCGATTTCACGCCAAAGTTTTAATAAATCAAAAATGTAAATGTTAATTTTTTTTTAAATCGGCTCAGATTTAGGTATATGCCGCCCTACAAACTGTCAGTATTGTTATATACATGTATTGAGATAAAAAATTTAATATGGACGTTAGGTGATAGAAATTATATATTATTATAAAAACTGAATCAGTCGTAAAGCTAGAAACGGTTTTCTTTAAACATTTATTTCGAGATTAGTCTGTTACTTCAAAAAAATTTGAACACCTATTTATGTTCGAATATTTGCTGTTTTATATATTTGCATAAAATAATTTGAAAATAAAATTAAATAATAGGCAGATCAGCTATTCGAGTGCAACAAACATCTTCGAGCTGTAAATTCTCGAGCATTTAAAGTATTTGACCCACCTGTTCGAGTTCGATAATATATTCGAACATTTTGAAGCATCAGTTCAGATATAGTTTCATACAAAGAAAAGTTTTAAATTTTTTAATATTTGTTTGTTGGAGTAATTAAAATAAAACTAATCTTCATTAGTAGTAATTTAGCTTTATTTTACTTCATTTTAAATTGGAGGTATTGTATAGAAAATTATAACAATTATATTATACATATATATAAAGCCTACAGCTATGGCCGTCTTTTAGCCGTTTGCCGGATGTTAAGATTAATCTTTTAACAACTTATCTTAAAAATGAAATACAAATTATCACCTATAAATTTAATTAATCTTTATTATAAATCCCTATTTGTATAGACTCGTACTTCCGCTTAAAATGAATAACTGTTATTTTACATAATACTTGTAAGATCTCCTATCTTCTAATTTTTACCTAATATGTTACTCATTAATGCCCAATTATATATGATATATTTTCTTTTTTATAATTTCATAATAGTTTCTAATATCAAGGATTTTTATTTTAAATTGCAATGCTTATCGAAGACTTCATAAATACTTCAGATGATTTGCCGCTTCGAATATTTCAATCAAATTACACACACCATATACGGATTATTACCATTCATACACCACATCCATTAGTTCCATAAAGTAATGCAATGAATTTCTTTGGAAACATATGTGCGCAAATGCGAGGAAGGGATGGGAAGGAATGGGTGCATGAGAAATGAAATCCACTTTTATTATTATATAATAATTTTTCAAGCAGACAAACGAGCGAACTATAGCCCACAACAATTTTGCATGTCCTTTCTTGGTACCAAATATTTACCATCGACATCGACGTCGACATCAACATCGATATCAACATTAGGAAAGACAATAACAATCACAGTGCCATGCTACTAACGCTACTCACAATTTTTGGCTTTTACATGTCAAAGACGGAGGAGTGCATTCCAGCTACCACATCGAACGCATTCGACTGTTATGTCAATGAATGTTTTTTCTTTGTGAATTTTCCGAACTAATTCCGAATTATGAGGAAGAAGCATACAAAAGAACTGTTAAGAAATACCACAACCCACCACAACCCACCCAAACATAACAAATTCCTCCAAACTTTCACACAACCCTCGCACTCCTGTGGCCGCCTCACCCAAACCTATAGCTATTTACATTACCTTGTATTTTTCTTGCAGTGTATTCCGTGTAGTCAGTGTAGTTTTGAGGATATAAAATATACGAGTGTATTTTTTTCGGTTTTGGTTTCAGCTCCACGCCACAAAAATAAAATTCATGTAAAAAAATGCGTAACTTCTGTTTTCTGCCGTCTACTTCTCAATGGCCAAAAGCATAATAAATGTTCGACTCATAACAAATTTCAGTATAGTTTTTCATAAAATGTTCCTTCTTAACTTGGCCAAAATAAAAATTATCGCACTGCTTTATTAACACTTTTTTTGTTGTTTTGTTGCTTGTTACAAAATACTTGGTTCGCACAACATCCCAGAAACGAATCCAAACCAAAGCAAAAACCAGTACCCAACAGAAATGGAAATATAGAAACCGGAGTAGGAACAGAAACAGAAGAGTTAATAAATAAAAACCAAAACTTCAATTTTCGCGTTACACGGCTTAAATAATAATTATTAACGGAGACCGCTGACACCGCTGAGACCGCTGAGACCGCGTCCGTTCGCACCGTTCGCGTCCGTTCGCGTCTTTATAGCGACCTTTTGAGGACGTTCGCGTTTTGCATTAAATTTGCTGTTTTCATGTAAACAGCAAATAATTTGATGTGATTTTTATGAAAATTTGTAAATTTATTCTCGTAAAATTGATGGGCTGCCATTTCTTTACGACGACCTCAACGATGACTGTTTTTTTCTGTACTGATTGAAAATTTTCGCCAACATATCCTAGATAACTAAAAGACCCGTTTGCTCGAGCGTTTCGTTTCAAAAGTAATTCTTAGCTAATATGTTTCGTTTCTCAAGCCAAAGCTCCCAAACAAAAACAACTGTTAAAAGCTGTAACCAAAAAGCTTTGACAGCGTTTTTTTGATGTACGTATGTTCAACCAAAATGAGTAACCCCACCAAAAATAGCAAATCCAAAAAAAAAGCAGAAACTCGAGTATGCTGGAGAAGAGACGAGTGAAGAACGGGAAAGAGGATTTGGAGTATTGTAATATTATATATAAGTATACAATATGCTAATATATGAATGTGTGTCTTAAAAGCAGTTACTAAATACCCTAAGACAACGATGTTTCGGGCCGGCCATTGAACAAGAACAAAA